AAGAGACAAATGAAAAGTTAATTAGAGAGAAATCATCTGTATCTCAAGTGGGCACTTGTAAGACAATTGTTGGCGGTTGTTAGGGCTCCAAATGTCTTATTTTCCTGATCATGTAGGATTGCTTACAAAATCAGCACAGAAATTTAATGGCCGATATCTCCAAAATGGCCTTAGTGACTCATTTTAAAAAGGGAAATACCTTATGTGTACTTCTTGTGAACTTGATCGGAACAATGATTCATTTTTGGTTAGCTCGGCTGTGCATCATCTACAAGCTCAGTCTGTAGATCATCCTGAAACTTCAGATTGTTACTCCATAATTAATTAATCTCGATCAATTTCCCTCAAAGAATCAGAAGCCAACATCATTCATATGTAGATAACTTCTTAGTGTGTTTGTCAGAAAAACATGTAAGTCACTATGGAAAATATACATAGCTATTTATAACACATTCCTTCACTGAACCGTGCTAACACGTGGCTAACATGTACCTGCCCTCATTTTTCTCCTGCCCTTTCAAGCAGGCAGCATCCGGGGAGGTGACTTGTCCTGCCCTCTGCTTCACAAACTGGGTGAGATCAGCACACGAGGAGAACTATGGATACTGAGAATGTTGCCTTGTCTGGTGACACTCAGGGGGAAAAAAGGCCCCAAAATTCATTCTTAGGCATTGCAACTACTAGTTTCCCCCATGAATTGTCTCTTCCCACTCCTTTCCTGCAGTCCTTTTCAGTAGCTGTGTGGAAGGAACTGTACCAGGGTCAGGAGATAACTGAGCTCTCCTCTTCTGCCTGTAGCACTATATTACTATGGAAAAGCACACTGCAAGATGTATTTTAATTAGAATGTGTTTTGCTGCAGTGTATTTAAGGGTAAAATGCTTGTGCTTTGTGGAGTAGGGCATTTTATTATTGTGCTTTTCCGTGTCAGATTCTTATCATTGCCTCAGAGAGAAGGAAATGAGAATGTAGGAGATCATTCACATAACAGTCTGCATTATTTTTTGTGAAGACCATTCGTGAGTTTGACTTGAGGCACTCTCAAAAGGATCTCACACTGAAGAAATATAGTACTTCACTTTGTAGTATTGCATGTCCCTTCAGTAAGAGGACAGACAGAGTTGAGCTGACTCTTTTTTGATTACTTTCTCTAATAAATCTAAATTACTGGGGACTCAGTTGTTGAAGGAGTGTTACATTTTTTATTGCTGTTGAAATAACAAACAAAAACTACCATATCTTCCAAAATGCATGTAAGCAAAGACAAAAGTTTCAAAAATATGATTGCTGGCTAGGCTAGCTGCATTTTGATTCAGATTTGTTACAATATTTTGGTATGGCAAGTCAAAATTAAATAAACAATAATTCAGAAGGTGTTCTCAGAAAGTGTCCTAATAGCATTTTTTTGTGGAATTCCATATTCAAGATGACCTTTTTGTGTGAAAAATATTTTATTTCTATGCTCTCTCTCTTCCCACACACAGTATAATGTTTTACAGAACAGAAGTTACAATTCCTGATGAGGTTACTACTTGTATATGTAGTGCTGAGGAAGATCAGAGGCTTTCATGTTGCCTCATGTACTGGTAATGATACTAATTTCTTAGACATAACTGGTCACAGAGTGAATTTGAGCTTAAGTTTGCAGGAACAATCACTCAATATCATAAAAGGTAGATTATTTGGAACTGTTAGCTCCAGAAACTGCAGTGTAGGTAGATTCAGTCATTTGCCATTCTCAAAAGTGAAAAATACAGTATTTCTATTCCAGTCTCTCCCACTTGTCATGTCTGGCTGCCTGGTTTTCCAGCTCAGTGATGATGCTGCATTAGTCCCTAAAACTTTGCACTAAACCACCAGAAAAATGTTGAAATAAATTTCCACTCTCGACTTTAACAGTGGCAGCTTCTCTGCTGTTAGAGACCAGAGGCGCCCTTAACAGAGGAAGTACATCTTTAAACTGCGTATGTATTTTCTGGTTTATACCAACTGGTATTTTTAACAGACTATGTTAGATTATTTTTATCACAATTAACACTCTATGCCTTAAATTCTTAAGAGTTTTCACTCCCAGGAGAGTCCATGCCTTGAACTGAGTCAAGAGATGAGGCCAACTGCTGCTCCCATATATTTTGCATTATATATATATTCTGCAGATATAGCTGAGGGAGAAGGGATGTTTCACAGCTAAATGCTGTTCATCTGCCTTTGACTCCTGAACATAATTGTGGTTGTGTTAGAGGAGTTTTAGCCAGATGTCCTGCCACATGCGTGTGCAGATTGCAGAAAGCTGTAGAATAGCTTGCTTAGCCTTTGTGAGGTTATAGGAGTTAGCCAAGAGGCACACACTGGCATATAGAAGAGTTGTTTGCAGTATGCTGTGCTCCTTACAGATCTCAGAGGTTGTGATGCAGTTAATTCAGGGCACACAGTCCTATTTCAGCTCTCACTGATGTTGTGAGGGCAGTCTCTCTGTTTTGGTCCCATAGTTCAAGTCCTCCTTGTAGCTGCTACACTTGCTGACTGACATTTCTTTTCCAGGGATAGGATAGGGATCATTCCAAGCATTTCAAAAGGAGCACAATGATTTGGCTGTAGGGCACAAGCTAATGGTTTAATAACTTCACTGAAGGGGAGATTTAAATCTGGAAACAGAGGGAGAAAGTTAACCCAGCCCTTCATGCTTCCCAATTCATCAACCTAGAGCTAATATGGAAAGTTAATTATTTGCATATTAGTTAGACTCCATGGCTCTGTGGCTTTTGCTTTTCTATTCTTTGCAGGTGATTTTAATGGGTAGTCTGCATTTGAGACAGTCTGAAAAAAACAAGCTCTAATATATAGAGATTCTTTCAATGGATCATGAATGATAATATCAAAGTCTAAATAATAATAAAATGAACTACTGTAAAGATTTTATTTCAATAAATGTGATCTAATTTAATAAGTATTTTAAATTAAAATATTAAATATATCTATTTTAATTTGTATTGACTGTTGAATGCATCACTTCTTCTAGAAGTAAAGTAGATAATTAATTTTTTGAAATACAGGCAGGGTGCAGTTCATTGTTTGGGGCATGTTGGGTGAAAAATATCTAGAATCTGATTGCAAAGTTTGTAAAAAAGTTAATTCCTCATTATCCCTCCTGAAGAAACAAGAGCTGCTCTTGTGTTCAAAGCTACTGAGTTTTCCTGCGTGCTGTTCCAAAGCAGATCTTGTTTTGAGGGCTGTCTCCCTGCTCCAGGCTGTGTTCCTAAATGTTCTGTGGGTGCAGGTGCTCCCTGTAAATGGGATGGGAACTGGTGAGCTGGGCTGTGTCCTGCCTGGCTCCAGTGAAAGTCTCTTGTTCTGCTGAAGAAACAAGACAAGTTACCAGATGCATCCTTAGCTCTGGGTGGCTGCCAGAATTCCTATACTCCTACTGTCTACGTTTTTTTGAGCAATGCTTTTCTGTTTAAGATATTCTGCTATTTGGTCTAGATTTCTGACTGTCTTTGATACCTGAAGATTACAACACATAGATTTCTTAGTGTTGAAAACTCACAGAATTACTTTCTTTCTTTAAATCCTGAAAAGTGCTTGTTTCAGATATGAAGTTAGGGCAGCATTAACATCTTTGAAACACACAGATTAATTTATAGATTTTTTTTTTTTATTTAACCTAATAGCATATTCCTATCCAGACAGTCAAGGCTATATTTCTTTAAAAACAAATAAATCATGTGAATGTGGTGAGACATGTTTGGCATATTGAATAGCCAGGGCCTTGTGCATTTACAGTTTTGTTTTCCTGCCTTGTCAAAGAATATTATCTTGCAGACTCTGAAATGTTTTGGCCTTCAGAAAGATGAGCTATAAAACTCACCGGGGGAAGATCGATCCTTATCATCTCCCTCCACATTTTTTTCCACTTTCCCCAGCTATCATATTTCAAATCCCAGGCCTAGGTCCAGCTCATCTGTGGTTTTCATAACCAGTTTGGTCAGGGATGTGATTTCCCTTCTTTTACCCGTTATTCTTAGTTTATAGCAAAAACATCTGCTGTGTGGAATCACTGCAATAAAATTGTCCCTCTCCTTGTGCAGGGGGTTTGCTGCAGAAGCAAAGGACATTGTGCCTTCCACAGCCTGGGTGGATAGCTTTAAGTAATGGGTCTAATCAGAGCAGTTTGTCTTCTGTGTTTTGATATGGTTGTGATGAAGTGTATTGGTGGTTCTCCCCAGTGGCTCTGGAAGGAGCAAGCTTTGGTGTGTAACTCTGCAGGTTCAAAAACCCACTGTCATCACTGCCCTGGGGCAGAGAGGGTACTCACTGCATATGGCTGTGCCTCCTTTAGTGTTGTACTGAACACTGGTACTGGTACTTGCAGCAGCATCTCTCAGCATGCAGTTGAAGCCATTCATATTTAAAACATAAAAGATCTTCAAGCTGTATTGTTGTTATTGTCTTTTAGCAGCACAAATCTCAACAGCCAGCTTTGGTATGCAGTATATAACTATGAAGCAACAGGTAGTGTAACCTCAGTACCTTACTATTTTATTTCTTATTGTTGTTCACAATTAAGCAGTGAGTCTTCACTGAAGCCATGCCCTCTGTTGGAAGTTACACTGCTGCCTTTAGGTGCCACAAGGTAGAGGTTTTTCAAGAGGCTGTTCTGTGGGCAGAGGAGAGGTTTTATTGCAAGAGTTGCATAAAGCACTTCAGAAACACTGCAAATTTTTTCCTTTCTTTTCTTCCCCTGCTATTTTTTCCTTGAGTTAATTAAACTACAATAGACAAGAAGTTTTTCTATGGGCAATACTGTAATATCTTTAGCAGAAATTCTGGTTTCACCTTTTTCATAGAATTGCCAAGTAAGGGGTTTTTCTTCAGGCAGACACCTCTGATGTCAGATCACAGGGAAGCAGATCACAGTGACAGGCTGGGTGCTGCCTTTAACCAGGTACATTTTACATCCTAACTATTCTAAGGCAAGTTCCCTTGCGTCTGTGCTGCAGGTGATGCTCTGGGGGCACACTGGAGGTTGGAGGAGCCGGGAAGGGACACCTTACAGCACGCTGATGCCATCTGATGGTAAGCTTTCACAGCAACTTTTCCGCCTTCCCATCGGCTTTTTATTTATTTTATGAGATGTGAGGTCACATTAGTTGCATGGTTTTATGTATATTTTCCAGAAATTGAAGTACTACATTAATTTTTTTTGTTAAATCTAGAAATGTTTTGTGTTATTTTCCTTATTTATCCTGTGTTTTAAAAGCTGCTTTACATTAAACGACAATGTACAACGCAACTTTTTCACTTAGTATTCTTTTTTTTTACCCCCCAGAAGTAACTATTAATTACAGACATGGTCTTCCTGTGATAACTCTTATGCTGCCCACAAGAAGTGAACGCTGTCAGTTCACTGTCAAGCCGGTAGTGACCACTGTAGGAGCATTCCTGCAGGATGTGCAAAGAGAAGATAAAGGAATTGAGAGAGCTGAAGTCTTTGCAACAGGTATCTTGTATTTCTCTTATTCCCTGAAATAAATGCATTCCCTTTCAGATGGACTGTGCTTCTCTTCTGGAGCATAAGTTCAGTCCTCCGTCATGTTTAGCACTGATGCTGTTGGAGTAGCTCTTGAATGCTTCTAGGGTTTAGTGTTGTTTCAGAGTTAATAACTGAGTCCTCTTGAAAAGGCTGATTAAAAATACAGAATTGGATCTATTACTGGTTACCTTTTCCAATTAGTTTCCCTTTGTAATGCTGTCTTTAAGTAAATATCTCCTGATTTTCTTGATGTCTCTTTCTTCCCTTGTCCTCCATGATCATTCTGAAAAGACAGCCTGTTGGGCTATTGAATGTGATGCCTGCCAGTTCTTCAGTGTTACCAAGAGCTAAAAGAATCCATTTGCCTTACTACAAACTTGTGTATGAAAAACTCAAGAGCTATGCAACCAGATAATGTGTGCAATAATAAAGGACAGTTTTTTAAGGCATTGAGATTTCATTTATCAGCTGGAGTACAATAATTCAAGGCCCTTTCAGTGCAATATTTCAGGCTGAAAGGAAACTGATTGCTAGGGTCAAAGGATAACTGGTATTTTAGCATTGGTATGGCCTTTCCTCCATGTAATATCCTCTTTATCCCATTGTCCCAAGTCTTCAGATAATTTTCTCAAGCTTTGCTCACTGTTCTCTTCTATTTTGTCTCTTTGGCTTGTCCATTGATAAAACTAACATTGAGTTAACCTTATTCTCCATTTTATTTCCAAGAAAACTTAATCTCTATTTTGGCAGTGCTCTTGCATCCCCTACCCTGGTACTAGATGATTCAATCTTAAAACTGGAATTGGCATGTAGGGTTTTTTGTCTGAATCTGGTAGAATAGGTACTTGAATTTGGCTAATTAAAAGCATCTATTTCTCCCCTTCCCCACTCACACCCGTACAAAGAAAGAAAAATAAGGATACCTACATATCTATGGAAAAATTTATTTAACAGCAGGTAACACATAAGCAGAAGAAAGGATGGTGTTAGTGAAAGCTGGTCCAGTTTCATAGCTAGGTGGATTCATAACATTCTTTTCTTTCTGGTTGATACTTAGAGAGGCCTGCAGGGGCTTCTAAAGAAACTAAAAATAGATTGATGTTCCCAGAAGGTCAGAAAGCCACAGACCTAAGAGAAACTGCTTTACTGTCCTTTATGGGCACATTTAGTAAAACAGGCAAATACCCCACAGAGCAATTTATTGATATCCTCTGGAGCAATGGAGATGTGATCTGTGTGGATTCCAGTGTGTACATGAGCTTCAGGAGCTTTGTGTACACGGGAGCTTTGGTGTTGAGTTTTTTGTCTTGTTTTGCTTTGTTTTGACAGTGTCTGCTAGGGAGCAAAAATAGAAAATTCTCTTGAAGATAATTTCCTGAAAAGACTCTATATCTTCAGAAGCCACTCTAAGAAGTGGTTGTTGTGAGCAGCTGGCCTTCCCCCTAACACAGAAGTTTTTCCCCACAAAGGATTTCCCAGTGGGGTGGGGCAGAACTTGTGCTGGCAGCAGTTAACCTTTGGGTACTGCTGTTGTGCAGACATCCAGGACAGGAGTGTTTGGGATTCACTGCCGGGTCGCTTTCCTCTCGGCTATGTCAGCAAAGCTCACTATTCCTGCTTCAGTGCAAACGTGGGTCACTTGTGAAGCACGAGGTAATTCCTGTAAGAAACCTGCAAGTCTGGCATTTTTGGCCTGGACAGGCAGCAGATTCCAAAGTGGAGATGAATTTGAGTTGTTTTCACCTTGTCTGATCTGTTTAAACACACCCCATCCCTTCTGATTTGGGAATACTTAGATTAAAACAGTGACTCAGAATAGTTCTCTGCTCTGTATTTGTCAAGTGCTGGGCAATTGTAATGTTACAGAACAGCTGAGATGTTTAATTCATTAGGAAACTGATACTGTAAAGAGAAACTATTGGTCAAGTACTGGGAGTTGAATTTCAACATCAATTATTAAAGAAAAACTATGAAGCTTTGATTTAGTGTAGACACACTTCTGTGTCATTTAACCATTAAATGAAAAGTAACCTTAACTTAAGTCATCAGTGCTGTGTGTGATGACTCACTTTCATTATCTGTGGATTTGATTTTCATCCTGCTAAACTTTTGTAGACAAAAAAATGACCCTTTTTCCACATTGGAACACTTGTGTTTAGGTACAGGAATTAAAGTAGCCTTTGCTTAAAGCGTGTGAGGAATGTTTTAAAATAAAATACCTCCCTTTCCTTAAAACTTCTCTTCAGTTAATATAAGGTTGCACAGGTTAATAAATTAGTGGTGTATTCAGAACATCCAAAACAAAGAGTCTGTCTGGCACTTCTTTTGAAAAGCATTTTTCCCTTAAATGTTATAGAGTTACAAATGTCACCTTAAATAATGTGCATGCAAATGAGCCTTGATGTTTTATTACGCTGGAAAAGAAAAAAGAAATGAGTGGATAGGCACATTACAATTTTGGGTTGAAAGTGGTCGGCTTCTGGGTTTGCTTTGCTACCACACAGAGTGGGCAGGTGAGCCGGCTGGGGCATTTGCCTGCAGAGTTCAGTAGTCTAAGCCTCATCAGATGGGGTCTGAGGACAGGGTTCTCTGTACAAATAATTGCAGATGTGGGGTTGATTGTGGAGCCTTTCTGTAGTGGATGTGTGAGGACAGGTGGAGGAGCTGAGGCAGTAGCACTGTGACAAATATCTACATACAAAGATCGTGGTATTTTGTGGCCTGTTTGGTTATTCATCTTGGGAGTAAAGCTGCCTAGCCCTTGGCAAGGGCAGGGGAAGGTGCCTTTTTTGTGTTTAGAAAAGGAGAATCATCTCAAACAGCTACTGTGGGGCAGCTGCTCCATGGCTTTTCAAACCCTCATGCCACAGTGATGTGTCCAGCAGCAGTGGTGGGTGGCTCTGGGGGCTTTTGGGGCATCTGAACCCCAGTGTGCTCCTGGCAACCACAGTTACATGAGTAGTAGTTCCTGCTAATTAATCCAATTGATTTTTGGTAGGAGCTGTAAAATTGCATGTAAAATTTGTGGGGTACCATTCATGTAAATTTCTGCATTAAAAACAAAAAACAAACCAACCAAAAACATAGAAAAGGGTTCTCCAGACAATCAAAGTTAACTCCATTCCCTGCACAGGACAGCCCCAAGAATCACACCTCCTGACTGTTTAGTATTATCTACCAGCGCTAAAAGTAGAGTTACTTCCAAACATTATTAGTGAAGAATCCCAGCACTTTTCTGTAGGGTTATCTGTTAATGTTTAAAACTCCTCATGATAAGTGATCTAGAACTGAAATCTTTCTTCTGCAGATGGTAGCAAGGTCTCTGATGCAACCTTAATGGAGGTCTTATTGATGAATGACTTTAAGCTTATTATCAACAACACAGCATACAGTGTGTCACCTCCTGTAAAAGGTAAGAGCAACCTCTAATAACTGGTCATCTCACTTCATTTAGTGAAAGGCATGCGAAGTCTCCGAAAACTGGGACCCGGGAGAAAGCTGTTTCTCTTTGGCTTTGTCTTTTTACCTTTGGATGGTCCTGCTTTTGGGGTTGGAGGTTAGGAGAGACTGAAGAAGGGTATATTCTTGAAATGGTTATATGACAAATATTTTCTTTTCAGATAAGCTGAGTAGTGAGCATGCTACTGAAATGGAAGATATCAAATCCTTGGTTCACAGACTGTTTGTGGCTCTACATTTAGAAGATCACCAGATCAGGAAAGAGAGAGAATTGCTACAGAGGTTGGACCATCTGAAAGGAGAGCTGCTGCCTCTTGAACAGGTTGGAAAGTGGGGGTACTTTTTAAAAAAAACTCAAAAGCTTTTCCTTTCATCAGAAGTAAGTCCTGTGACAGAAGAAAATCATCATGAATAGCTAGGGTGTGTCTGTTCTGTTTGTTATGTAAACGAGGTCAACTCAGGTAGAATGCAAATTATTTTCAATTCAGTTCTTTTTCTACCTGTTGAGGACATTAATGGGGTAGAAACCATAACACCTGGAGAAAGCTGTCATGAACATGGCTAGTATTGAGATTAAAAGGCCATTTGTTGAAATGTCATTGAAAGTCATTTGTTGCTTTATGGGTTCTGAATACCCACGACAGCAAAAAACCACAGTAGTGGAATTGGCATAATCCATGGCTTAGGGTAGTGGACAACAGGATTCCTGCTTTATGAGGGCCAGCCTCAGTGTTTCCCAGAGCTGCCTTGAATGTAAATGGAAATCAAACAGATACAGATCCCTAGTAGTGCAGAGGGGAGATTAAAAGGAGGAATTCTTGGTGCACAATGGCAAGAAGATCTGGTTGCCCTTGGGCCTCAGTGCTTTTATTTTCTCAGCAGGGTGAGTCAGTAAGAGGTGTGGGTAACTGATCCTGAGAAAGGATTTAGCCCAGGGGGAGAAAACATAGTTGAGGAGCTGTTCATCAGAAGAGTACTTATGTTTATTTGAGCAGGTTTCTCCATTTCTTTTCTTCAGATGAAAGCCCGAATCATGGACAGTGCAGATGCAAAAACCTCCAGGCTTTTATGGGTTGGCCTAGCCCTGATGTCAACGCAGGGGGGAGCACTGGCATGGCTCACGTGGTGGGTCTACTCATGGGACATCATGGAGCCAGTCACGTACTTCATCACCTATGGGAGTGCCATGGCTTTCTATGCCTACTTCGTTCTCACCAAGCAGGTGAGGCCTTGTCTTCTAAATGTCTGGAAAATGGAAAAGGAGGAAAACTGAGTCTGTGAATCACAAAGTTTGAGCTCTGATGAAAGCAGAATTTCAGTAAGTGGCCTTGCCATCAGACAGGGGCTTATTTGATCCCTAATGCAGCTGGATACAAACATTACATCATGCAGAATCAAGCAGGTACTGCTGCACATGAACTTCAAGCCAGCTACTGAGCATAACTACTGTTAGTAAGATTTCATAACCTGGAATGAAAAGTGAGTAAAGAAGTCTCTCCTTTAAAATGTTTGTAAATCATTTTGCATAGTTAATGGCACCTTGCTCATTGCAGTAATGGGAGAGCAACTGGTAGTGCTGTGCCAGTTTATGAATGCTGCCTTACAGCAGCAAATCACCCAACAGTAGTTTTTATTTGCGTGTATATACAGTGCAGGGTACCAAACTGTTTGGAACTCTGGCAGATACATCACTGAAATATACTGAAGTATATTTGGTGCCTGAAAAAATGTTATTGCTCCGCTCTTCATAATCGGGCCACTTTTCCATGACTTAGAATGAACAGAGGTAAATCTAGAACAGCTGAAATGAGGCAGGCATTGTGTGGAAGCTAAAGGTTTGCTCAGATCTTAACTTAGCTTCACAATACAGGCTTGTTCTGAAATCCTGTTAAGACTTTGAGAAATGTTTCTTTTTCCTGTTTTATCTCTGGACTTTACTCTCAAAGTGGACATCTCAATGTTGAACTTTCTATGATGCAAAACTCTTTTTGTTGTGGAAGTATGTGGAAGAGTAACCAGTACATTCTTTCATTATACAAATGGATCTATAGCCCATGTGAGAAATTAGGTTTCTTCCGTGAAAAGGGGAGATGTATCTCTTTTTATGAAGAGCTGGAGTTTTACTCCTTCTGACTTGGTTTTTAAGTAGGGCTAAGCCATTCCTACTTTTTGTGAGTAGATAAAGCGATTACTACTTGGTGTTTTTGAATAGCTGCTGGCGCCATTGCTTAAGACTTTCAAATAAGTCCTCAAGAAGTAGTTCCTGAATTTTCTCTGACTCCTTGGAAGTAGACTCCATTGGCTGAGGTGGCTCCAGTCATGAAGATCACCCTATGTCGTTATTATAACTTAAAATCCCTTCAGACATGATAGAAATGACTCCTACTATGTGTTTAAAAAGCCCTTATGGCCCCCGTAAGAACAGCATTTCGTATGTAGCCTCTTTACAAAACATAGATAGCTGCTGGACAACGTAAGTCTTCCTGAAACAGGCTGAGTTTCTAACGGGCTGACCTCTACTCTGTTTCCTTGCTAACCACAAATCCATGTCCTCCTTCCTTCCCCAGGACTACATTTATCCTCACGCTAAGGACAGGCAGTTCCTCCACTACTTCTACCGCAAATCCAAAAAGCAGCGTTTTAATGTGGAACGATACAACAAGCTCAAAGACGACCTAGCGGAGGTATTTCAGTGCAGCTCTGCAATAATGACACAGCTTCTGGCTTAAGACTTTTTCAGTAAACTCTCAGATAACAGAAAATTGACCTCACGGCTTGCTATCAATACTCTGTATTGCTTATCAGCCAGTTTCAGCTGTTCAGATAATTTTACAATGTTTGTCTTTGATGTATAAATTAGTTCTGTATGTCATCAGAAAGGGAGACCTTAATGAATTTAATTTAAAACAAGTCAGTTTATCAGCATGACATCTATTTTTTGCATACTCTAATGTTGCATTTTTGGCCATTTAATACAATAGCTGCATTTATTTTGGACACAGTATGTTTGCTGCACTACTGTAGTAAACCAATCTCCTCCCTTCCTTGGAAGGTGATTGCCTCGCAGAGTGTTCAGCATTTGACATCATAAGCTTATTCCATAGGTAAAAGACTTAGATTTACAGAATATGAGTGACTGAATGGAAAAAGTGGTATGTACACCTAGGAGAAATTTGGTGGCCTTCATGAAATAGTTGTAGCAGATCTCTCACTCCTCAATTATTACTCCTCCATCCCATCTTGGCAGCCCTTTGTTCAGTGTCTTATAAAAGAAAATGGAACTACCTCTAATTTTAGCTCAAAACCCAGAGTTCAGGATGTAATTTCATGTGCCATAATTGGCACAATATTAAGAGCTTAATGCTTTTTTGGTGGCCTGGGGGTATGAATATTTTAATTGTCATTTCAGGAAAGTAATACTTCAAGGTCTGGGTGAGTGGGTTGATGGGCAGGGTTCATGCTTCCCTCTTGAGACTGCATGAGTTGAGCAGGTCTGTCAGTGTTCAGCATCCTCTGTTTGATTGGTTTGGTTCCTTCCCTAAGACCAGTGCCTTGTGAGAAAAGAAAGACAGTGCATGTGTGAAAGAGGAGGAAACAGAGGCTGCAGAAGGATGAACTCTTCCTCTCTCTTTCATTGGCAGGCAGAAGAATCCCTAAGGCGTCTGCGCCAACCTCTGCACCTGAGGCTTCCCATCCAGGAAATCAGTGACAAGGACTGAGTTCGGTTTTGTGTATCTTGGAGATGCCCTTTCAAAGCTGATATGAACATTTAGTTACTCCATAGCACCTGGGTATTTTTGACCACTGAAGTTTTAAAAGTTGCAATAAATAGCTTTAAAAATGATTTGGTTACTTGATGGTTTGCGTTTGTTTTGCTTGTTTGGTTGGTTTTAATAGAACCCTATGAAGGAACTGCTGAAGCAAAGTTCTTCTAAATATATGTCAAATCTCATCAGTACAATGGAGGCATTCTTATTGCTGGTAAAATGACAGAACAAACAAGGACAGCCTTTTTAGTACCATTAACTATAACATAACAGTAGCTCATAGAATAATTAACTTCTGCATGGAGTAGTAAACATTCTTTTCCTGAAATTACTGTTTCCTTTTCCCTGGTCTGTGCATTGACTCTTTGTGACACCATAGGTGAAGTTTAGATTAGCATGACAATTAAGCTTTCTTTGTAAATAGTGTTGGAAAAGTAAGGTATCTCAAACTTGCTATAAAATAATTTATGTTTCACTGTTGCATTTTATTGAAAGAATTTATGAAAACATTCAAACATACATGATTTATACAACATTTCAAAGCAGGTGTATGAAGATACAGCATTTATGACTCAGAACATTGTATATGGAAAGACTTAACTAAAGCAGAACCCGGAAAGTGGATTAGTGCTGGAAAAGTAAGATATCTCAAACTTGCTATAAAATCATTTATGTTTCACTGTTGCACTTTACTGAAAGAATTTATCAAAACATTCAAACATACATGATTTATACAATGTTTAAAAGTAGGTGTAGTAAGATACAGCATTCATGACTCAGAACATTGTGTATGGAAAGACTTAACTAAAGCAGAACCAGTAAACTGATTATTTTTTCCCCAGGAAAGTGGATTAAGACACTTTGCTCAGTTTGAGTTCTCTGTTGTCCCTCAGAGGAACATTTAATAATGTTAAAAAAAATTTAAAAGAAACATTTGGTTCAAGTCAGCACCACAACTACTGCAGCAGTAACAATCCTGTGTTGATTATGCACCATCACTTTTATGTACCCAATGACAGAGGTATGGCTGATCTTCTCCAGGGCCAAGAGGAGGCCTGACCCAACTCAAAGGCTGAAGTATGGAGGTTTGCATATGTTATATTTTGTAGAGCTGCCTAGAGATGTCCAGCAGCTTTAGCTTTAGAGATATGGACTAGGCAAGCTCACCCTGAGCAAACTTTTGTACATGGTCTCATTGCATTACTACTGTTTGCATCCTCAGGAGAAAAAGTACCAGCAAACTGTAATTGTGCCCCAAGCATAAATTATATTCAAGCAAAACAAAACCCTTTATTAATCAACCCTGTTTGATTAATCCTATATTAATACTACTGTTCTACTCAGGGAATTCAGATACTTTTTAGTGTTGCAAGAAAATGAAAAAATGTCTAAAAAGCCCCAGTAAAGCTACAAAAGTTGTGGATTCTGCTGTCCACAAATTTAAAAAGATGCTCTACAAACCATATGTCCTGTAAACTGTGCTCTAGGAGCAAGACAAGTTAATCTAATGGAACATTAGACACGTTTTGGAAATAGCAAAATGTGCCATAGTTAGATGGCAATCAAGCAAGACGCTTTTAAGAAAAAAGTAGTCTGGAGTATCAATTTCAATAAAATCTGAGCACCTTCTAATACTTTGGCACCAGAGAACTTCTCCCATATTTCCTGATATGAAATCCTTGGTGTAATTCTAGCTTTAAAAGTGCTTTAAGATTTTAGAAACTGTGACGTATACAAACTGTAATGCTTGATCCCAGTGATTCTGGAGACAATCTTGTAGAATATTACGTCTCCTCAACTACGATGGTTCTCTTTGCTCTGCAGCAAGTAAGAGTAATGGTCATCCCTGCTAAATAATCTACTTAGATTTTGGATGAAAATACAATTTTTTAGTTAACATTGAGGCAAAACAAGGAATCTGTTTTTTCCCTATAGCATTTATGTCTTTGCACATACCTACTCTGCGACACGATACTTTCCTGTTAACAACAGTAAGAAGTTCTGCAAACTCCAAGGAAGATCCATGCTTCCTAAGGGTCTCACACAAATCTTGGATATACCAGGAGCCATTTATAGTGTCACGATGAGAATAGTAGCCTAGAGTAGAAAAAGGTCATAAAGTTACATCCAAATGTAAATAGTGATAACCTCTTGGAAAAATATTTATGAGAATCACGTTTGCTAGCTACCATCTATAAGGAATTACTAATGTGTGTTTACACTGCAAATTGTAGATGGGAAATGGCTTTGGTACCACTTGTAGTGCTCAGCTAAGAGGAACATGATTCAGGGATTGGTAGCTTACAAGACTGCGTCTCTACTTCATAGGAGAGCAGATGGGACTGAGGACAACATGCATGGGGGGACTGGAGGGAACAGCCATGTAGTGCAGGGAAATTGATAAGCCACCAGAATCCTGGAAAAGAGATGGATGTTGGCTGTCAGGCGGCTCAGTCACAAGGCTGACTTTTGTTTTGTTTGGCAAATTTAATGCACTTTGATAATTTGCTTTCACTTCTTTAGCACATAACGTTCTTTCCCAGACAAGTTGCTACTCATCAGACATGCAAATCAGATCTACATGGAACTGTTCTCATTGTTTGGACTGCAAAATGAAGACGTGTTCAGAGTTGTTACAGTGAAGTATCAGACACCATATCGGAACTCACCTTGTGCCACAGAGTAGCACATGATAAAGTCTGCACCAGCAGGCAGAGTGTAGACACCAGCTGCATCCACGTCAGTCTCATTGCCAGGGGATTCACTGCCGTCTGCTGAATCATGAGCAATGACTGCATCATCATGTTTGTCACCTCGACAGGCCTGTTGGTGAGAAGTGTTGGTATGTTTGCACCCCTGCTGAGCTCATTCTTAATAGGATAATTCTGACACTATCCAGAGGCACTTCTGTTCAGCTAGGTGTGCCACATTACCATGACTCTGCCTTCAGAAAGACCCATTTATTTCTCTGTCACTTAAAATGTTGGGGACAAAGTCCATTGAAAGCTCAAAGATGATCTCAGAATCACTAAGACTGGAAGTGATCTCTTGAGATTATCTAGTCCAACCTCCTGACTCAAGCAGTGTTAGCTACAGCATGTTGTCCAAGACTGTCCAGTCAGATCTCCATGGGTCGAGACTCCACAGTCTGTATGGGTGACCTCTTCCAGTGTTTGACCAACCTCACAGTAAAAAAAGTGTTTTCTTGTGTTGAGATGAAATTTTGTGTTTTAATTTGTTCCAGTTGCCTCTCAACTTGTCACTTGGGTACCACTGAAAAGAGCATGACTTCCTCTTATTCCTTCCCACCAGGTGTTTAGAACAAGGTGTTTGGTAAGATTCTCCTGAGCCATCTCCTCCAAGCTGAACAGTCCAGCTCTTTCAGCCTCTCCTCATATCAAACATGCTCCAGAGTCCCTTAATCATCTCTGTGGCCCTTTGCAGGACTCACTCCAGTAAGACTGTATTTTTCTTGAACAGGGAAACTCAGGACTGGACACAATACTTCAGAGGCAGCCTCACCATTGCTGAGTAGAGAGGAAGAATTGCCTCCCTTGCTGGCAAGGCAGTGTTGAATTACTGTTCTGAAGCACAGCCATCATTACATGCTGTTACACTTCAGCTCTTAGTGCAGTCTCAAGTGTGTTTGTTGAGGGAAGGTTTTTTGTGAGAAGTCAGTAGTGATCCCATATTGTCAGTGGTGCAGAAAGGCTACACATGGAGGATAACAAGGTGAGAACACACTCAAAAGATACAAAGGAGCATTACTTCAGAACTACCACTAAAAAAAGAAAAATAATCTTCTTATCTTCTTTACAGTGATAAAGTTTCATCATGATGTTTCTTCTGATTTTCAGAGGTAATTGCTATGCCAGTTGTGCTGGAAAATAACTCAGCTGATGAACTAAGTTAATTTCTTTTTGATGAGTATATATTATAAATGTCTCCAAGTATTACTTAGAACTTAAATATGAAAGTATTTTTTCCATCTTTGGCAGCAGGTTAAAAAAAAAAAGGAAATCTGAGTCCTAATGAAAGGTGAATTAACAATTCTTGCAGCAACCCTGTGCCTTATAGAAGCTTGCATTTGGGAATAAAAAGGAAATACTTAAAATTACTCTGTAAACTACTACAATTACAATCTGCTGAAGGCCAGGTATATATATGAATTTGCTAATTGTAATCTGGATAAAGATGGGATAAAGCCCTGCATGACCTGGTTTGACCCCATAACTCTGCATTGAACAGAAGGCTGGACCAGAGACCTCCTGAGGTACCTCCCAACTTTCATTCTCCCGTGAACCAAAGAAAGAAACAGGAGGTTACATATGATCTTTATGTGACCACTTAGCACAAATAGTATTCCTGAGACAATAAAGCCTTAATTTGATTCTTTGGATTCTTCAGAGATGCTGAGTATAGGTCATAGACAAAAAAAACCCAACCAACCAACAACAACAGATGAAAATCACTACCACCGCAAAAACCAACCAACCAAAAAGTCCCACCAAAAAAAAAAAAAAAACCAAAAAAAAACACCCAGAAAAAAACCCCAAACACAAAACCCAACTTCACTAGGATCAAGTAAAGGAACTTGCCTGGAAGGAAGCAATGAAGATACAAAGGTTAGATAGCTTATCAGCTTAGCCTTGGGCTGTGAAGTGTGACCAATAGGAACTGAGCTGAGGCTGCAAAAAACCCTGGTACTGCCTTCTCAGCTATTAAATACACACTGACAGTCGATCTGACATGGGTTTAATTCGTGTTTCTTTTTTTAAAATTACTTATTAAATACAGCTGTAATAATAATATTAACAGTAGTATACATCAGGGTTTCTAAAAAAAAGAGAAGAATCCTTGTCTTAAATGCCTTGTGGGAAGACTGCATAAGGAAAATAGATTTGTATTGCAAGGAAGACACAAGTCAGTGTTAACTTCACTGAATTCAGAAACAGACATCTTACCTGAATGATAAATATCTTTGGTTTTCCTACCAAACTCTGGCACTTGTCTCCTCTGAACATGTCTGTGATGGTCTGAATTTCAATTTTGTCATCATATGCAAAAATGTGACCAT